AAGCTGGAAAATGAGAAGCTGCAGTGCTTAAAGGCTGTCGGTTCATGCTATTTGAATTTGAAGTCTTCAATGGTAAACGGAAAATGAGCATGTAATATTAAATTCCAGGTTCTGCACATTGTTCTGCTCTGCCAGAGTGTGTGTGGTTACATTCAGCCAACTTTCCATCTGCCACAGCCGTTGAATATAACTCTGTAATGGGATAATGGTAGAGCTCTGTTCATGTTGGACTGGCTGCCAGGACCCAAACTATAATTAATAAGCAAATAAGTACTTATGAAAAAAGGTTTCCAGCTGACAAGATTTCATGCACTTAGACAGAATCTCAGGCAGTGTGTTGTTACTTAGCTGTACCTATTGTGGAAGGTAAATTTGTCTCACCTCATAGTTTGTAAGTAAATTGTATCGCAACTGTTCATCTTTAGTAGTATACTTTGGAAATTAATAATGCAATTAATTTTTGAAGTATTGCTAACTTTTATTTATTTATGGATGTTCAACCACTGTGAGTAATCTTCAGCTGATCTCTTTTTAGGATGGCATGAATTGTTATGAGCACTAGATTGTAGGTTTAGTAATTTAAGGTACCCATAACTTGGTAACACCATAAGGACTGATACTTACTTTGTAGTAATATTCATCTTGATATCTGTAGGCATCTCTGATAAGATCTGAAAATGCTTATTTTATCTTTGTGACAAATTTCTTCTAAAAGTGAACAACTGCAAGGCTGTATTTCTGGGTCTGGAGACTGGCAATTTCTGTGTGTTTTTCTTTGAAATACCAAAGTATAATTTCAAAGCATGTATTAATTTTTAAAGCTATTAAGAATCCTGTGCTCAACAGTGACATTCTCAAATGTTATGTTAAACTGGGGGGAACTGCAGGCCCCAGGAAGTGCATCTTGTAGAAATTATGAGTGGAGAGAAAGAACATAAAGAGCAGAAGAATAGACATTGTCTTTCTTTCTTCTCCCCTTTATGTTTCAATAGCTGTATGTCTACCTCTCTCAGTGATAAGGAATCTGTAGAAATAGAAGACATCGTAAGTTTTTTCTGCCTATCTACAGCTAAAGATTAGAGGAGTTTCATGTAAATTCTGCCAGCAAAAATATGTCTAGTACCCAAGCCTGTTAACACTTGTTGATCAACAGATATCCAAAGATACTAGAAAGAATGTTCAAAATTAAATGTTTGCAGAGCTCTGTATTTTCAATGCCTTTGACATAGAACTGTTGTTTCGTAAGCAGCTCCCTTTTTTTGTTACTTTTGAAGCACTGTGATTAGAGTTGTTCTCTAGTCTTTCTTATTTCTCAAATGAACTTCTTTCTTATCCCTGCTTTTTCTGAATTTTTCCTGCTGTGTTCATGCTCCTGAATTTCAAGATGGAACTATTTGGACAGCCTTCAATATACCACTTCTGATTTCTATTTGGTATCATAAGGTCTGCTTATGATACCTCCGTATTATCTCCATTTTTGAAGTGTAGTTTACTTACCTTTTCTCTTGTCTTTTACCTCCTTTTTGAGATAAACCCTACAAGAAGTGATAAAAATTCTTGCATCTTCTTGAATAGCAGAATGGAAGAGTAGGGAGCGCCGAGAGCAGATCCATGAGAACAGAAACAGAGATTGAAAACTGGCAGTACAGAAAAGCTGTAAGCTCCTGCATGGGAGGGAATGTGGTGCTAATTTAGGGAAGGACCTGGTACTTTCTAGTTCAGGAAGTTTTCAGTACAAAGCCTGTGTGTCCATGCTTTGCTCTTGTGTCTCAGAAGGAACGTGCATATTGCATACCTGGGTGGTCCTTGTGACTGACATGGAAGGCAAAGTTCTTAGGCAGTTAGTGAGTGAAAGGACTATGGGTTTCACTTTTCCCAGAGAGTGGCAGTGGAGAATTGGAACCTGGGAGGTGTGCTGAAGAAGAGAGAGCGGGAGACACTTCTGGAGACTGTTTGGACTGAGGGAGTGAAGAAGCAGGTCAGGCTGCAGGTGCTGAGCCTGACACACCATCCACACCATCCTGACACACCATCCACACCATCCTGACACACCATCCACACCATCTCCACATCTGGGGCACAGAAATAACCTGATGGTGTTGAACTTCAAACACTGCAGCCTTGCTGAGTGTCTAGCTCTGGCAGATGTGCTGGCTTCTGTGAGATAAGTGTGTTGCTATAGTCCAGGACTCATTCAGCAGACTTCTGTGTTGGTACTGCCAGGTAGTGAATACAGTACCTATTATTGAAGCTGTTCTCAGGACATTATTATCTCTAGACAGCTGCTGCTTTTGTGAAGTGTTTATACAGATTAGTGTTTATTATATATACTTCGTTAAAAGGCTGTAGCTGATGCAGTTTAGTCTAATTGCAAGCATCATAGAACATTTTATTCCTCTGCTCCCTGCCCTGCACAGATGCCTGAATAAAGTTTCAAGTGACTTTCAGTACTGTCTGAAAAATACTACCTTCTTGAGAAACATACTAGTTGTAGGGAGCACTTAGTAATTAATCTAAGGTATACTATAGTTAACCTCTGCTTTTCTCCTTTCAGGTCTTGGGTTAGATTCAAATGAACTTCCCATTCAGTCTAGTTTCTCCGACTGGCCCGAAATGAAGAAAAAATTTGCATCTATATTTGCACAGAAGACACAGGCTGAGTGGTGCAGCATATTTGATGGTACTGATGCCTGTGTGACCCCTGTTTTATCCTTCGATGATGTTGCCTCACATCAGCATAACAAACAAAGAAGTTCTTTTATCAAAAATGATCAGGGAGAGATAAGTCCTAGACCTGCTCCTCTTTTATCAAGGACTCCTGCTGTTCCATCGTGTAAAAGAGATCCTTTTATAGGAGAACACACGGAAGAGATACTTCTAGAAAATGGGTTTACTAAGCAAGAGATTGCTAAACTTCATTCTGATAAAATAATAGGATTTGGTAAACCCAAAGCTAATTTATAATCTCTGACTGTGCATATCATACAAATTTAAGACTGATAGAGTAATTTTTTATGCATTAAAATTGAATTATATGACAAATAAATGTTTGCATGATATTGCTTTTAAATAATATATATATTTTTAAATTATTTAAATTTTAAATATAATTGAAAACAGTGAGAGTTATGTACATGGATCATCTGCTGTCCAGAATGATACCATAATTGTGTTCTGAAGATCTATACAGGCTGTTTAGTAAGCACCTGTACATTCTCAGAATTTTTGTTTAAATATTGAATCCTGTGGCTTGTTTCTTTTAATTCTTAGTTACACCATTGCTTTGTAATATATGTTGTAATTACATGAAGGCAATACTTTTAATAAAATTTAATTATATTCTTTGTAAGTGAGTTTGTTGTTTACTCATAGATTAGAAGGGATTTTTTCCTATATTTTATCATATTAATTAATTTGCTTTATCATGCCAAAACTATGGTCAAATTAATGCTGTTTGCTTATGTGCTGCTGCAGAGCTATTACCATAAAGTTAATCTGTTTAATAGCCTGGCTACATTTTCTCAGTGGAGTCTCCTGATTATATTACATTTGGAATTTCAATTTGGCTAGAAACTCACTTCAGAATGAATTTTTTTTTTTATTTTTAAAATACCTGCCAATTATTATTCCTTTCCTTTCTTTAAGGGAAAGTGCCTGGTGACTTAGCTGCACAGGTTTTAAACAATGGTTATTCTGTATTGGTTTTAATTTCCTGCAAAATTAAACCGTCATTTGAAACCATCTTTTTCAAGGCAAAGGAAAATATGCTTTTAAGAAGAATTAGTTATATGACCTTAATACAGTATTCTCTACTCCGGCCTGTGAGAAATTATGACATGAAGGGTTGGGGCTTTTTCATAATTTTGTCTGCATTTTGCTGAAGATTAGTTTGTTGCTTACAAAGGCTTCCAAAACTGAGATACACTTCATCTCATTTTTTATCTGTCATGGCGAAAATGTCAGCATTATTACCATAAAAAACCCCTTTACATCCTATTACATGAACACTTTCCTGAAAGCAAGAATTGTCTAGTAGGTTCCGACAAATTTTCTGAACAACGAGCAAAACCAACTTATGTTTCCAGCTGATAATCACTTTAATGTGAATTACTGAATATTATACACCTTTATGGTAGGATTCAACAGTTTTCTTAGTCCCAGGTGCATCTGATCATGTTGGAGAAAAGTCAAGGTTGTCAAATGTAATCTCCACTGCACGTAAGTTTTGACCCCAAAATTGCTGACGTCAATTTGAAAAATCACGTTACTTCAGCACAGGTTGGATCAGTTGCCTCTCTTGGGTGGCTAATCTGAAAGGTACAGTTTGGTGTGTCACTACAGATTTCTTGTGGGGCCTTCTGTTGGCACGTGAGGGAACTCAACTAAGTGATCCTGATAACCCAGCCAAAACCAGCACACCTTTGTTTTCAGGGACCGAGAAAATAATCAGTTCTTCTCAGGGTGATAGACAGCAGATGCAAAAATATACTTACCAGTTGCTGTTTGATGGACTTCTGTCAAGCTTTTTATCTGCCATTAGCACTTGAGGGCAATGGGAAGGTTCACTTACTCATCTTCATGAAGTGCATTGAAATCCTTTTCTGGACACATACAGATTTTTTTTCTCCCTGTTCAATCAGCAGCAAATCAGCACTTTGATGTTCATATTTGCTGAATTGAAAGATGAGGGCTCTAGATTCCTGGTATCACTGCTGTCTTAGAGCAGCAAGAGGAATAGCTTTGCGTCAGGCTAATGCTGCGCCTTGACCATGTGATGTATGTTCCCGTTATATGTGTGCTTCATGCGTAAACAGTAATTCCTTAGTTGTGGATAGTTGGGAGCTGTGCAGATGACCAAGAGCTCAGATCTGCTAATGTTAACACACACTTCCCCGCCCCCTTCCTGGCATAACTTGTGATCGCAGAGCCATGAAAGTATGTGAGTCCCTCCCCCAGCACAGACCGATCCCACCCGGCATATGATCTGGGCCCCATGTCAGCCGGAGCAGGCAGCACCGACCTGCCACAGCGCCGCGCGCAGCCGGAGCAATGACCTTAACGAAAGAGAGCTTCCACAGGGTTCCTCCACCTGCTTCTGAAGTGGCCAAGGCTGATATGGACTGCACCGGAGAGAAGGAGGAGGCTCTGGGGCAGTCAGTGCTGAGGACTGGAGCAGTGGTGCCTGGGAAGCGAGCGGTGGGAAGGCTGGTCATGCACAGCATGGTGATGTTTGGCCGGGAGTTCTGCTATGCCGTGGAGGCCGCCTTTGTCACGCCGGTGCTGCTCAGTGTAGGGCTGCCCAAGAACCTCTACAGCCTGGTGTGGCTCATCAGCCCTATCCTGGGCTTCGTGCTGCAGCCCGTGGTAGGTTCAGCCAGTGATCACTGCACCTGTAGCTGGGGCAGGAGGCGACCTTACATTCTGGGTCTAGGCATCATAATGCTGGTAGGCATGGCTTTGTACCTCAATGGGGACGTGATGATCTCAGGTGAGTGAGGGGCATGCACTAACAGAAAAAACTCATCCTTAGCCTTTTGAATCACAAGAAAGAGAGGGGTTCCTCTTTTCCTTCTTAGAATGGACTGTTAAAATTGAGTATCATGTGACTCAGCTGCATTGAAGGAGCTGGGGAGCACTGAAATCTTCATATACATTCAATCCTAATGCTGCATGTTATGTACCATATCCATAGTGTTCTGTAATTTGTGTGTGTGATTACAGCCTTCCGTTGCCTGACAAGCTTGTACAAGTAAAGATTTGCTTAGCCCCATAGAAGCTTTTATGAACTAAGATCTACCTTATTAGCTTAAATGATAATATTGGTTTTGCGATGTAATACACATCCAAACTTAATATCTATCTGTTCATCCCTATTTTAGGTAGATTAGCATTCAAAAATACATATCGTTAGTTATTGCAGCACTGGAGACTTTGTCATGCTGGTGAACAACAGAAGTCTTTAACTCCTTGAAAACCCTGTTGCACCTGGAATATGCAAAATTAAATAGGAATGACATGCCCAGATACTGTTATATTTCAGCTTGGGATGTAACTTCTTAAAGTCTTGATGAAAAGGTGTTGCTGATATATGACTTGGCAGAGGGGGGAGGTGTGTGTTTTTAGAGATTGATTTATTCTCTCTTTCTGGATATCATTAATGTTGAATATACTTGATTTCGTTTGCCCAGAAAGAGATGTTGCAGTCAACTCTTGATTACCTAAAACAATGGAAGGATGGGACAAATAGAAAAAACCAAAAAGTACGACAAAGTGCATATGTTGGTCTACCAGAGCACACCATGGAGGTGTAAAGGAGTAGATTAAGGATAGTGATTCTCTTGGTTGTGGAGCTTGGAGCACCCTGAGCATGTGCTGACTCAAGGCAGTAAGTCAACCTAGCACATCTCAGGGCTACACAGACTCAGTTCTCTTGCTTCTCTGATCTGATTCTGGTGTCACTGTTCTCTCTTGCATAACCAGTCATTGTTTAGATTTGGAGGTACCAGGAAAGGTAAAATGTGGTTTTGCAGAACATGGCACTGTTGCTGTCAGAATGAGGGTGTTTCTCTTTTTGTAGCTTTCATCGATGAGAATGAAAAGCGGCGGACGTGGGCAATAGTCATTACCATGCTGGGAGTAGTGCTTTTTGATTTTGCAGCTGATTTTATTGATTGCCCCATCAAAGCGTATTTATTTGATGTCTGCTGTCATCAGGATAAAGAGAAGGGTCTGCATTACCACGCCCTCTTTACAGGTACTCAGATCCCTTCTTTTCCTCCCTTCCTTTTGAAGGAGGGGAAGGCGATTGCATGGATTTTATCCTCACTGTGTTTCTACTCTTGAATGAACTGATCATCTGATCCTGCACTTCAGTCACGAGTCTTTTGTTGCTGGGTTTTCACTACTCCAGGGAACAGCAACTTGTGATTAGTGCTGCAAGAATTCTGCTGCAAAAGGCTGCTGGCATAAACAATTACAGTAACATAGCTGTGATTTAACTGAGAGCAGTTAATTATTTTAAAAAATGAAGTACTGTTTATTCAGATTGGTTTGATTTTTTTTCAAGTTTTTGGTGAAGCAAAAATTAATGAATGTAACTTGTTTCCTTGCTATTGCACATAGAAAGAACATTTTTAACTTGGCATGTGACAGAAAGCAAGAGCTGCACAAACCAGACTAGTTGATTCCTCTTCTTCAGCAGTGCTCCAGTATGTGCTATATAAAAATGGAAGTTCTGTGTTAAATTCAGAACTTCACAACCTCCACAAAATAGATCCAAGTGGTTCGGTCCAGGCTCTTGCAACTAAAGTTAACAGTTTCATTTGTCTTTGTACATGTTTGGAATGCTGCTGATTTACAGAAGGACATGGAACTGTTGGAGCAAGTCCAGAGGAGGTCCACAAAGTTAATAACAGGACTGGGGCACCTCCCGTACGAAGACAGGCTGAGAAACTTGGGGCTGTTCAGTCTGGAGAAGAGAAGGCTGTGTGGAGACCTCCCAGCAAACTTCCAGTATCTGAAGGGGCCTGCAGGGAAGCTGGAGAGGGACTCTTAATCAAGATGGGACAGGGAATAATTGGTACAAATTGAAAGAGGGGAAATTTAGGTTAGATATTAGGAAGAAATTTTTTACTGTGAGGGTGGTGAGACACTGGCACAGGTTGCCCAGACAAGGTATGGATGCCCCAACCCCGGCAGTGTTCAAGGCCAGGTTGGATAAGGCCTTGAGCAACCTGGTCTAGCGGGAGGTGTCCCTGCCCATGGCAGGGGGGTTGGGACTGGGTGAACTTTAAGGTCCATTCCAACCCCTTAACATTCTGTGATTCTATGAAATCATCTGCAGTACATGAGCCCTGTGTTGAGACAATGCACAGGGAAGACACGTAAGGCTGTGTACATGCAAAGTGCATTGGGAGGAGCTGAGTGACTGTGAAAGGACTAGACAAAAAGCAGACTACCTGAGAAGTCATGCAATCTGTGTTAAAGCAGATGTTTGTGTCTGCAGAGCCACACCAAAAGCAGAGCTGTGTAGATTCAGCAGCAGTTACTCTGCTCAAGGAGGGAGCTATAGTAGCTATTGACAATGGGCTGATTTTGGACATATGTAATACCCGTGTCCAGGAACACAAATTTTAAGGGAACCTTAAAGCCACATGGAAGTGAAATCAGTATTATCCATTACAAACTGACAGATAAAATTTTAAAGAATCACTTGTTTGAACAGAGAGAGAAATGAGTCTGTATATATATTCTTGCCTTCAGCAGAAATCTGGTTGCAATTTTTCCTTGGCTCCACATTTGGAGGCTCCAAATTTGGATCTAATTCATTTGTGTACTAAGCTATGAAAAGGGATGGGGGATAAATAATATCAAATAAAACTAAGGCAGATTGCATGGCTAGATTCAACACCTGTGCCCTCTGTAGCAAGTTCATTTGTATCTTAACACTTCCTAAATGGGAATTCCCTAGTCTGTTCTTGAAATCTCCTTTGAGAGGGGTTCTACAGCCCTCCCTAAGCAATCTGTTCCAGCACTTCACCGGCCTCAGTATTAGACAGTTTTCCCTAAAATCTAATCTTGACATCCATTCTGTACAGTTCATGTTTATCATTCCTTTTTTTATCCCAATTAGACATAGACAGCAATCTTCCCATTTCTTTTCTAGTTTCTGTCTGAGATATTACTTTGTTTCTCCCCTTTGATTCCTTCCCTTTATACTAAATATCTTTAAGATTTTACTCTCCAGTTTGTCTTCAGTTTAAGGTTTGAACATGAAACTTGATAGCTTTGTAGTTATGAAACTTATGGCCACTGAGACAAGTGGAAGGAAGAATTCACATATCCAACGCGCAACATTCAGGCTGCATTCCAATATCATGATTCTTTTTTTTCAAACAGTATGCAAAGACAACCTCAAATGTCAAAAATTCTCTCTGCAAACATACACTGCAAACATGTAGTGAAATTTTCTTCAAAAAAGCTATTAACAACTTAATTGTTTTTCATTAAACAAGCAAGGATACAGTCCCCTGAGAAATGCTATAGGACACAATGAAGAAGGGCCATAACCAGACTCAGGAGGGGGGAAAAAAAGTACAGAAAGCCCAGAATGAAATCAAAATCCCATGTTTTGTAGGTACTGTTACTTTGTGTTAGAGTTGTTTTGCTGTACACTGTCATCAGGTCTCCTAGGCAGAAGAGTAGAAATGCTTGCAAGTCCTTCAAAAGCCTGTGGGACTGCCACACATCCTGAAGAGCCAGCTGGTTAACAAGATGTCAGGACTCTACGAAGCTGCTGCCCCTGCCAGAGCACTGTACTGAATGTAACAGTGTGCACTTTCTTGTGCACCTCTATGTGCAGTCATAGCAAAAAGAAGAAATTAAAAAAAAAAAATTTAACTGAACACTGGGTTTATTAACTTCAAGGCACAAGGTAGCACTCTCATTTTACCTTTTGGTCTACCTCTTCTGAGAAAATTAGTACATGGAATTAAACATTTGATCCTTTTTGTTTTCTGTTCCAAGTGGTGAGAGATTTGGATTTGTACAACTCCAAACCAATGCTTTTGAGTTTATTTTGTTTTTTAAAAAATTTCACATGGAAGCAGTATTTCTGTTTAGATGAAGCAATACAAAATGCATTTTACAAAGTCAAAACTATAGGTAGTCTTGATATAATTTTAAAAATATTTGTTTGTTCTGTGAAATTTAAAAAAACACAAACAACCATAAATTTCAGTATAATTCTGTTTTGCTTTACTTGTATTACTCTACTGTTTCAAAGAAAATAGAGCTTCAAAGAGGCAAGAAAAGAGATGGGGTCCTATGTTGCTGTATGTTCAGGCATTTTCGGGAGAGCTCAGTGTACCAGATCTGAGGAGATTTTTCAAGAGATGTTTTAGTAACTGCTCATGTATGTGATTAGCTTGCTATTCCTACTTCATGTGATTAATATCTGAAGAGTGATTATTCTGTCATTTCTAGAGAGGATCACATGTTGGGGGTATTGGGTACTCTGTTTATTTTATCAATGCCAGTAGATTTTTATTTTTTTCTCCACCGTTATAGGTTTGGGAGGAGCCCTGGGTTACCTGACAGGTGCTATGGATTGGGGTCAGACTGTACTAGGATATTCCTTGGCATCAGAATTCCAAGTGATTTTCCTCTTCGCAGCCTTGGTTTTCATAATCTGCCTTACCATGCATCTGTGCAGTATTCCTGAAGTCCCACTCAGATACAAAAATGAAGAGGCAAAGTTCTTGTTGGAAGTGACTGAACCCCATAAATATAACTCCACAGAGGAGGAAATCAAGAATGGTTACTTAAAATCAACATGCACTGAAATAAAGGCTGCAGCTAAACCAGGGAAATGCACAGTTGTGTCACAGGTAAGTGCAGAGGTGATTTTGTGGGACATATCGTTGCATCCTTAGAGACCCTTTAATTAGCTAATGCTGACTATTTGTAATGGAGCCCTTTCACGTGCACAGAAAAAGAATCATTCACCAGGATACAGAGTGAGAAAGCCTGCTTTCTTTTTTTTTTTTATTTAGAAAGAATTGCCAGCAAGAGGGATGAGACAGGCTAGTTCTGATGCTTTGATTAGTTGGAAGGGACAAAGGAGAACCAGGTTCAGTTTTTTGCTCTGTGTCAGTCTCTTGATATGCTCCCCACGTGAATTTTGATAAGAGGATCTATTCTGTCCTTTAGTCCTGATATAATTAATATCAAATTTTGAACAAGGACTACAGATCACTGATCTTTGATATAGGTCTGTAATTCCCACTGAAGTCCAAACACTTTCATATTTAGTACATATAAAGTGTGTGTTCCCTGGTCTAGTAAACATTTGGGTTTGCTGCTGGACAACATTTCATTGAGGATTTATTGAGAGTACGAATGTGTTTAAAATTTCTAGTTCTACAGCAATGCTACCTTGCTACCAGAGTTTTAGTTTTACTTTGAAGTGATGTTGTAGCTGTGTCTTTGGCAGAACTTTAAGGTGGGAGAGAATAGTGAGTACTTTCAAATCTTTGCTGTTATTTTGTTTCTGCTGCATTTTCATGAGAGGCTGATTCAATCTCAGGAACTAGGAGAAGGTGATCTAACAGAAAAATACCTGGGGAGCACATTTCTAGAATGGTCTTGGGAACAGTTTTTAATATTTTGTTGATGGATTTTAGTGCTAGGAATTCTCATGGCTCTCTCATGGTACCCTTAGTAAGCCATGGATAACAAAACCAGTTGCTTGAATGGATGAAAGAATTGCTTTTTGTTTTAATTTCATCTTTGATCTCTTGGCATTATGTATATCCATCCCTGATAAAAGTTTGTTAAATCAAGTTAAAAGTACTGAGCATGTGCAGATGGTTATAAATTAGAGACATACTCATGTTTGAGCTATAAAGGATTTATTGTCTTTTTGTAATTCTTTTTATAATAGCACTTGGTATTTCTAACCTGAAGAAAAATATTATTACACCAGATACAAAACAAAGGTATGTAAGGTGAATGTTGCCTGATGAGAATGCCAGGCAAACACAGAGAGAGGCAGACAGCAAGGTAACAGTTGTCTGGACAATATGACCAGCACACCGTGATGCTGTCTGAGCTTCCTCACTGTAGGCCAGTTTGAGCAGCCAGCATCCTGCACCAGCGCTGTTCTCTCTGAGCATCCTCCAAATTGTTGGAGATGCTGAGTGTCATTGATTGCTTGGACCATGTGGGCTCTGAAGAAAGGAAAGCAAATGAAGAAGAGAAAGCAATGCAGTGGAAGTATGGGGAGCAGACTGTGGATTGGGGTAGTCTCTGCCTTGGCAAAAACTAATTCCACAGAATCAATAACATCTGAGACCTGAGGGGAAGCTCTGGTGTCTGTGAGCAAGCTTGTGCCATTGCCCTCCTCTCTGATTAGGCTGGGCAGCCTGTTAGAGTCTCACAGAGCTTTGATCTGTCTCATGTTTCTTTGATGTGCCTGAGTGTGTATAAATTCTAGACACTCACTGCCTTAATTGTCTGTCTCTTGTGGCACATGTTTTCTGATTCATTCATTACTGTAATTGCTTCCTTAAAGAAATGTTTCGGCTTCCTGTTTTTCTGACTCTTTTTTCATTATTGCAGGCATCACGGCCCTCTATCTTCTAAATTAAGGACTGTGCTCTCACATGCTAATAGCTAACATGATTATTAATAAGATTTGACCTGTTGCAGTATGAACAGACATCCAAAGCGATTAGCCTTGTGTTCTTCTGCATGGTGCCAAATTACTCAGGGTCTACTGGCATAATACCCAAGTCATATTGATTCTTCTGTATCCTTATAAATCATCTTGTGGCTTGAGTTGTAGTGAATTTACAGAGAAGATTATTTGGTACTGTGAGTTTTTGTGGGATAAATCATTTAAACAGAGCCAAACTTCAGCACATTATTTAAGTTATCATGTGATTTGTGTGTTGGTGCGTATTGAATGTGCACATTAAAGACTTTTAGTTTCCATTTCCAGTCTCTAAAACATCTAAATAGAAAGAAAGTATTTCTATCTAGCTGTCAAATTATTGTTTGTAATCACAGCAGTGTCCTTTGTAGTTCCATGACCTTGCTTTAACACTTTGATTGGAAAGGCAGTTTTAAAGAACTGTGAGAAAGAATTAACAAACTCAATAAGCCAAGTCAAAAGATAGTAAGTATCCTTGAAATAACAGTAATGAGTCAATGTGGAATATAAAGCTTACCCTGTATAAAAGAGACAGTGATGCTAAGAGAAATTCCAAGGGATTCGGACAATATGTAGCTCAAGGTGAAAGTCAGCAACTTGAATTTTGGCATTCCTATGAGGATTAAAAACCTCCCACTGAAGCAAAGTATTTTCCAACTTTAAATGTGGTGATTATTCATAGAGTAGCTTGCAGCATAACCCAGTTCAAATGAAAGAAGAATTGTAAAAAGTAACTATGACATTGAAAGAAGAAAGGAAAAAATGACATCTTAGAGCAAAGTGAAGACAAAATTTAGTTCTGTAATTTCCAGTAATTAACATAACTTTTACAGTTCTTCCACATTTTGTGACCATACAGCTTCCCTTACCATCTCTCTCCACACTGTTGTCTACAAAAAATACAAAAGAAAATTGAAAGTGTTCCATCATGCACAGATAAAAGAGTATTTTTTAAATTTAAAAGCAAAGACCCATTCAGGAGTTTTAATGTAGGAAGAATTACATGTCAAAATACCTCATCAAGAACACCTACAGTGCTAAAAAAATATTAAAATTATGTAAGTGATCTGATGAATGTGACTGGAAAAAAACTGAAAATTTTGGGGCACAAGGCTGAGACAAAGAGAAGGGAGATAATGTGAGGCTTTGGAGGTGGTGAGAAATGTGGGTTTTCCACATCAGTGACATTGGTTAACTAGCACCAATAATGTTTTGATTTTGAATTATTTCTCCAATGGTATGAGGTGTTCAGATGCTGGAACTCACATTCTATGGGTGCCAGGATTGGGAGTGGTGCTGCATCTCCCGTGGTGAATCATAGCTTACCCTGCTTCATACAAGGCGGGACAGTACATAGTGGAAGTCTCGTGATATGCCTCAAGAGGTAGAAGTTTCCCCAGAAAAAGAATATTTCTAGGGAATTTAGCACATAAAATGTAATAGGAATGAGGTCTCAGAAATGCTTAGAAATCCACAACCGATACCAAAATGTATTTTAAGTGTCTTTTTTTTTTTTTTTCTGAGGCAGCTTTAAATTTTCAATGTAAAGCTGATTGTCTCCATAAAGAAATAATTTTTGTTTCTCATTGGCTTTGCTGTTGTTTGGTTGGTTTGGGGTTTTGGTTTGTTGTTTTTGTTGTTGTTGTTGTTGTTGTTGGGTTTTGTTTTTTTTTTTTAAACTCTCCGAATCTGTTTTGGCAGAAAATTTTTCTGTGGTACTACACATAAATAATAATCCTACTGATTATAACAGCAAGAAATGTTACTTCCTTGTTGGTATACCCCAGCTCTCCTAGAGTTTCTGTGAATTTTATGTATTGAAGGACATTTAGTATACAAGCAACTCTTTCCTAGCAAAAAGTAAAAAACTTTGGAAGCCTAACCCTGAAAAGATACTAAGGCCTTCTTCATTTGCTATCAGCTGTTTTATTAGCCTTTGGGGCAATAATACAGTAATTATTCTTAAATATATGCTTTTAGGATCAAAGGCAGATGACCCTTAAATCACTCTTGAAGACACTTTTAAGCATGCCATCCCACTATCGCTGTCTGTGTGTGAGCCACCTCTTTGGATGGATGGCTTTCCTGTCCAACATGCTCTTCTTCACGGATTTCATGGGACAGGTAAAAGTGTAAAATCCTCTCGCTTCTCCTTCCTAATAGCATCTCCTCCTCCATCAAAAAGAAATTAAATGATGTTATGATCCTGCAGAAATGAGATTGGTGTCAGATCCATTTGTATCTGGATGGCTCAACAAGAGTTTTGTAAAACAGCAAATTGAGGTCAGGCCCTTGTTCTGAGCCAGTCTGTTGAATTGTTGGGAAAAACCTTTCATCATTTGTAAGGCTGTTTGTGTCTATTTAACTGTTCCAAATGAAGCTCTCAGAGCTTGTCCAAACACGCATTTTCTGCATTGGCTTAAGAGCTTCTCTGAGATGGGCAGGCTTCCTAACGGGAGCAATGCTTGGATGCAGCTGGCCTTATCCTAGTGCATGGGCACTGTCCACACAAAGCCATTCCCCTGCACTGCAGCCTCCTCAGCCTCAGGCTGTGCAGCTCTTTGCACACACTGAGATACTTGGTAGCAGAAAGCTCTTGTCTTCTTGAGTTTGTCTGTCCCTCCATACCTCCGTAAATCTTTCCCTGAGGCCCTGAGGCCCTTTGGCCAGCAACTATTTGCCTTCATAACACCCAGTGCTCCCTTTTCCATGCCATTCCCAGGCAGGACTGTATGCCCTTAACAGCTATTCTTGCCTATATGAACCTGTCTACCTCCTTTCTTCCAGAGTACTAATATGCCCCCAGCACAAATCCACTCACTGCCACTTCCTTTTTTTCTGTGGTTTCCATGCAGTATTCCCATTTCCTTGCCATTTTTGTCTTCATAGGCAAGGCAAGAGGAAGGGGTTTTTTTCCCTGTAGTATATATGAACGACTGAAAGAAAAAAGTTTTTCTTGTCTAGATATGGAACTGAGTAAGACAGTTACTGTGTGGAAAAATTAATGTGTTGAGGTAAGCCCGAAAGAGAAAACAAAAAAATTATTTGTAGATAAATTAGGGAAAGAAAGGCTAAGACAAGAAGGCAGACATGAAGAGAGAAGGAGAGTGGGGAGTGAGACACCCAAAGGAAAAAAACCAAATTAATCAATGTAGAATGCACAGTTCAGGAAAAGGCAGAGGGTAATAAATGAGGAGGAGCCTGGGATGTGATAATCGGGGAGAAGTGAGAGTGAAACCTGCAGAATTATAGAGGGGTGGTTAGGACACTGCTTAACAGATTCTCCAGGTGTTCCCTACCAGGGATGAGGCCCTATGTTGTGTACTTGTTCCTGTAAGAGGGAAGCATTCTCTACCTGCAGTCATCCTTACCTTCTGTGATCCTTGTGGTCTCTTTCAGGTTGTATACCAGGGTAATCCTTATGCACCTCACAACTCCACACTTTACCTTACCTACAAAGCAGGAGTAGAGATGGGATGCTGGGGACTGTGCATCAATGCAATTTCTTCATCAGTCTATTCTTGTAAGTGTCCACAAATGAACTCCAACACTGTGTTTTTGAAGCTGTTTGCTGTTTGCCACTGTTTAAAAAACATAAAATGATGCCAAATTAACTGGGTTTTTTTCCACATTAAAACTTTAAGAAATGTTACATTCCCAGCATTGTTAGAAACTCGTATCTTTACACGACCAGTTCCTGACCACATGATGAAGGGTCACTTTGGGAGTAAGACATTGTTCTGCATGTGAACTGACCATGAACACTGAAAATTGTCCTGGAGTTAAATGCCAGACTAAATTCTGAGATGATCTTTCACCCAGCAATGCTGTAGCTGTAGGTTCTTGAAGGTGCCCTCTCCCCATTTGCATTCCCTATGCAGAAATTCTTGCCAGAAGCTTGAGTCTTGCTCTCCAAAACTACGCGTAAACATGCTAGCACAACTCCCCAGATAGATTTCACTGTAATGCTTACCAGGGATTAAAAAAACTATTTGTGATCCGAAAACTCAAGTAAGTAACATTTTAGGGGCTGAACTGAGCATCTAAATGAGTCTTAAGGGAAATCTTTTCACCTTTGGAACACAACAAAAGAGTCCTGTCCCCAGACAGGGGACTGAACACCCAGAGACACAGCAGGAGACAGTGACCCCAAACTTTCGTGCACTTAGACTGTGAGTGTATAAGAGCCCAGAGTTTCCTTTGTTCAGGGTCCCTCCTTGAAGGCACCAGTTCAAGCTCTTATCCTGTTGTTGCACCATGATTAAATTATTTTAAGGATCCAGACATCTGAGACTCTGCTGTGGCAAACCTGGGATGGAGCCTGAAAGGAAACCTGGTCTGACTGTGCAAGTGTGGGCTGTGTAGAGAATCAGCTGGGGACCTGTCCATTCACTGGAGCTCCCTGCTTTGAAGGGGCCTCAGTCCCAGCTCAGGTGGTGCAGAGTATGACTGCCAGAGCGGCTCCTGGATGGTCAGACAGGGAAGTTTCCTTAATGTTTCTAAGGTCAATGAGGGCAGTTCTTCCAGAATGGTTGTTAACTACTTCTTCTCTGGAGCTGGCTATGACAGAATATCCCCAGAGAGAGCAAGTATACTTTGTCAAACTTATACCTACAGTAATTTGAGGCAACTTCCAAAATCAGTAAGATTATCTCCTTCACTTCATTTTACAAAATAAAACCCCTTAATGAACTCTCTGATGCAATGTGGCCCGTTTTTAGTCTTATCAGCATTTTCACTTCCTTTTCACAGACGTGCAGAAAGTTCTTCTGCCATACATAGGATTAAAAGGACTTTATTTCATCGGATACCTCCTTTTTGGACTGGGTACTGGATTAATTGGCTTGTTTCCCAATGTCTATTCCACTCTGGCTCTGTGTTCACTCTTTGGAGTCATGTCCAGCACACTGTACACAGTGCCATTCCACCTCATTGCAGAGTACCACAGGGAAGAAGAGGTGAGTGCAATGTCTAAAGAAGTGTAACTTTATGTCTGTCTGTGTCTGTTCAGTCTATTTTGGGGATAAACTGGGTAGAAATAATGATAAACAGCTTTTAATTTTAATTTCAAAACTATTAATGATGACATATTATGAATTCTGACAGAGAGAGTTAATGTCCCAGCTCCAAACTCCCCAAACAGTCCTACAATGAGACATATAATTATTTGTCTCTGATGAACTGAAACAAAGCAAATCACAGTATGTGTTCAGGCAGTAAGCAGATGACAGGATTCCACTGGCGTTGCCTTCATGTGCTACCTTCCTTATATTGTTCCTTGCAGCTGCATTAGCAGAGGATTTGACTTACGAGTGTCTGAGGTTAATAGAAATCCTATAAAGACTGGCAGAAGTTTTAGTTAACTGCAGAGTGTTGTGGAAGCTCTTAGCTAATAAACATATGAAATTCAAGGAGAAACATCTTTACATAGTTCAGTATTTAATTGTATACCACGTTCTCATTATCTTTCTAAATGTCTGTGGTTGGGTTTTTGTCCTCCACAGCATAAAATACTGTTTCCAAGGAAAATTTGGAAGAGCTTGCACATCTTGTACGTTGTTATTGAGCACAGCAGGATCTTCATGTATTGTAATGTGTGGAATTCTTTCATGGTAAAGTTCTCTCAAGTCTTCAAGTTAGTAGACAGCCGGGAACAAGAAGGATTAAGGAGAGTTGGGAGGACTTAGGAAAAGTTCTCAGTATATTTTGGGACATTGGAAAAAATTAATAAAGGAAAATCTGAACCATTGAAAAACCACACAGAAACACAGTTGAGACCAGGATAGGGCTAGATCAAGTGCTGGGGAACTTGTCCTACTGTTTGACACACCCTCTGAATGATGAACACAATAAAACTCTTAAATTATTCTATTCTATTGAATCCTAGGAGGATGATGTCTTAATGGGATTAAATATTTCACATATCTAATTCCTAATTTTTCTGTTTGTTTCTTTGTTCCTTCCAACAGAGAATGATCATGATGTAGAGTTTATAAAGATATAAGAAAGGACAGGGAATGAACCCAGTTTAGGGCGAGATCACAATTCTAACCTCAGGCCAGCCACCTCAGAGAGAGGGAATAAAGGCAAAATTTTAGTCTAGCTCTGATTCAGAGCAGTTCCAAGACAGAAGTGAAATAAAACATACTGATGTGTGCATGAACTTATATTTAATCAGCCAATATATTCGGATGCTGCTTGTAAGGCAACCAATTGTTTCTTGTTTGATGTATGGTACTTGCTATGATAGATGTTAAATGATGTATAATTCTATGTTAGATTTGATACTAATGGATTGAGGTTTAGCTCAAATCTTCTAGATTGTACAAGATGGTTAGGAAAAAATAAAGAGGAAACATCAATCACAAAATTGCATATATTTACACATTCATGTGTTTGTGGTCAGAACCACTGGCACATAGGAACCTTGGGAACAGGCTAGCAAAACAGATATAATTTATAAAAAAAAAAGTGTCTGAAATTGGGATTGTATCATTCCAGAACAAAGAGCAGATATTTTCCCTCACTATGCATTCTTCCAAAATCATATGCTGGGTTTAACAATGTTGCTATTTCTGTGCTGCTGTTCCCAAATTCAGTTTTTTCTACTGGATTAGGAAGAGACTGTTTGTTTCCAGTACTTGTGGGCCTTGAGTGGGAATAGCTCAAAGGCAAGATAATAGGTTTTGCAAAAACCAAAAAGCATCTTAATGACCATGAGCATTTGTCTACCAGAAGACAGCAGTGCAGCTAGCCTATAGTGTGGAAACCTCTTGTTACAATACAACCTCCTCTGTGCAACAGCTTATGCAAGAAGAAAAAAAAATATGAAAATACCACATAATTTCAAAAAAAACCCAGAATAATTCCTTCCTGGAGGGAATTGCAGAACAGCTGGAAGTTAGAAGGGACCACCAGAGATCATTTAGTCCAACCTGCTCAAGGAGGGCCACCTGGAGCAGGCTGCCTCGGGTTTGGGTTGAATAATTCCAAGGATGGAGACTCCACAACCCCTCTGGTCAACCTGTTCCAGTGATTCACCAGCCTCACAGGGTGCTAATGTGCAAGATACTTACATAGAATAAATGAAGGCTTTTGCTCTGCTATGTACATCATAGCAGATACACGGGTAATTAGTAGGTAACAATGGTCCTCAGTAGTGTACAAGAATCCTAGTCTGGATGTTTGTTTTCAGGTTGCTTTTTTCCCCAGCAAGAAAAGCATTACATTTAGATTTTGGTACTGAATTCCTTTACACACTTTAAACCATAACTTCAGAACACATTGCTCCTGTATGTGTGTGGGGATTTTTCTGCAGTTCTATAAAGTCTTTGACAACATCCTTCTCTGTAGATTGGTAAGGGATGGATTTGATGAGTGGACTGTTAGATGGATAAGAAAGTAGTTGGACAGTCACATCCAGAGGGTAGTGGTCAATTGCTCAGAGTCCCAATGGATGTCAGTGAGAAGTGATGTCCATCAGGGGTCCTTTCTGGGACCAGTGTTATTTAATATCTTCATTAATTACATAGACAAAGGGCTCAAGTGCCTCCTCAGCAAATTTGTAGATGACACCAAGCTGAGTGCTGCTGTTGACACACCTGAAGGACAGGATGCTATCCAGAGGGGCCTGGACAAGCTCGAGATGTGGGCATATGGGAATCACACATGGTTTAACAAGACCAAGTGCAAGGTGCTGCACCTGGGTTGGGGCAATCCCCAGTACCAACACAGGCTGGGGGATGAACAGATCAAGAGCAGCCCTGCTGGGAAGGACTTGGGGTGCTGGTGGGTGAGAAACTGGACATGGCCCGGCCATGTGCACTCACAGCCCAGAAACCAATCCTGTCCTGGGCTGCATCCAAAGCAGGGTGGGCAGCAGGTGAGGGAGGGGATTCTGCCCATCAGCTTCTCTCTGGTGAGACCCACCTGGAACACTGCATCCAGCTCTGTGTGGATGGGTGCACAACAGGATGGACATCAACCTGTTGGACTGAGTTCAGAGGAAGCCACCAAACTGATTAGGAGGGAGGAGTATCTCTTCTATGAGGACAGGCTGAGAGATTTGGGATTGTTCAGCCTGGAGAAGAGAAGGCTTCAGTGTGACCTAATTGTGGCCTTCCAGTACCTGAAGGGGTCTGCAAGACAGATGGAGAGGGACCTTTTACAAGGGCATGTAGTGACAGGATGAGGAGCAATGGCTTCAAACTGAAAGTAGGTTTAAATTAGATATTAGGAAAAAATCATTTACTCTTAGCACTGGAATAAGTTTCCAAGAGAAGCTGTGGATGCCCCTTCCCTGGAGGTGTTGAAAGCCAGGTTGGATGGGGCTCTGAGCAATGTCCCTGCCCATGGCAGCAAGGTTGGAGCTAGATGTTCTTTAAGGTACCTTCCAACCCAAACTATCCTGTGAGTCTATGATGATTCGTTGATAGTATGATATCCCTTTGAGGCTCTCCTTCAGCCATGAGTTAGAGCTAAATTATCCATGACAGTCCTGTACTGTTAAATGTAAGTTTGACAGAGCTCACAATGGCCTGAATTTGAAAGAAATGTCTAATTTTTTTTGTCAAGTTTCAATTGCTTCCTTGAGAGAAGGGATAGAGGGAAAAACTGCAGATGAGAAAAACGGGACAATTCAGTGGAACCTTGGGCAACTCATTGTTACTTGTGAAATCTCTGTTTGTGTTCCATAACCTCTGTGATACAATAAGGGAAGCAGGGAGCTATCAGCTTGCCCTGCTGTACCTCGGGGTTGTACCAATGCACTGGCCAAGAGCTGCATGTTGTCAAAACCGTCCCGTCTCACTGGGGTTTGTTTTGCGCTTCTTTGCAGAGCCTGAAGCTGCAGGATGGGGAACAAGCAGGAGAGCACGGACGAGGGAAGGGCATTGACTGTGCTGCTCTCACTTGCATGGTCCAGCTTGCCCAGATCATCCTTGGTGTGGGCCTGGGGCTCTTGGTTAGTGTTGCTGGCAGCGCCGTCACTGTGATTTCAGCGTCCACGGTGTCTCTGGTCGGCTGCTGCTTCGTTGCTTTCTGTGTTCGTTATGTGGAGTAGGACTGTGAGAAGTGACTGGAAGAAATCTCCCCAGGGGAGTGTTTTCTTTCTGGGTCCGGAGCACTGGTGCTGTTGCTGTGCTGATACTGCTGGCACATCCTCCTTTCTTACCTCCTTGGATCGGTTGCAATTCCAGAGCTTTATGAAATAGAGACTTGATAAAACTGGTTGCCTAACACCTCAGATGCGTACACACACCCAGTGTATTCACATGCTGTGACATGTGACAGCGTGTCTGCCAGTGGTATTTTGATGACCTACATGAGGAGTCATTACAAAACTGCTCATTACCAGTTTGTGGAAGTTAATAGATGAAGTATGTTATAAATTGAAGTAATGTAAAAGGACAGAGCTGGGAAGAAAGTTATTATTTATCTTGTTTTTCAGGTATTTTAAGTTTGGGGCTGTTCCCTCCTGTAGTCAAAACCTGCAAGAGGATCAAGCAGGTGTCGAAGGGCAAGCAGGGTGCATCTATGTTATGATTAGTAGTACTGCTAAAGGAGATCAGTTAATTATCAGCCATGGTTAAAAGCAGGTTTGGGTGTGAAAAATGTTTGGAATATCAAAAAGATTGAAGCCAATTTTTTAAAAACATAATTGTAAAGTAATTATTAAGTACTGGATCCTGCTGCTTCTGTATAAATGACATGGAACTACTAGCTAGGCTTATCAGGAAAGTCTGCCTAAGTCTGTTCTGCAAGTCCATGTGTAGGCACCTAAAAAATCTGCCTATGGGGAACAGCTGCCATTTCTTCCTTTTTTAAAAACTGGCCTCTCAATTTTGATACTGTAATTGAAAAAATAAACTTTTTAAAAACTGGCCTCTCAATTTTGAAAAATTGAGAAATTAAAAAAATAAATAATTGAAAAAATAAACTTGGCTAAAGTAAGAATTTGATGAATGGTTGAAAGCCACTTAAACCTTGACATTGGATATGAGAAGTATTTACCTTAAAGTAGCATCTCTATTTTCTCTATTTTCTTCATGCATCTAGCTGTGAGTGAAATGGCATTTGCTCTTTACAGAATATTGTAAATAAATTCAGTTCTGCAAAGCACTATCAGGAATTACTGTACAGTAAATACGTAAGCCCAGTTGTTTGTATTTAATTGCTTATGAAGCTTCATTCTTATTTTTATAATATTGCCAGAGTTTTGGAAATCCTGTATTTGTGAAAGTTATATACTGTATTTATGCTGTGCTTCCTCTGTCCTGAAAATGGTCATATCCACTCACTATGTTATATGTTAAGCCACATGAAGAGATCTGCTAATGCAATATTGTTAATGAACACTGAGAGACTACTGCCAAATATGGTGTTTATCATTGGTTGTGGGTTTTTTCTTTTTTTTTTTTAATGTTGCACATGTGTAATCAACACTGTTCAGTCAAATGCAGTGTTGAGCTGATCAAGTCTTAGAAGCTCTGCAAGATATGAACTTACAACACCAGAAATAAATGGTTAGATTTGAGCATCAAGTGCTTCCAGAGGTGCATCAACTTCATCATTTTTCTATGTTTTCAAGAGTAGAGTGAGTCATTTATTCTCAGGAAAACCAGTCTTCCCCTAGTTAAATTCTTATTAATTATAACAAGCCTATGGAAGCCTCAGCTACATTTTCTTGTTGATCACTGAAAGTGTCCCCTACAGTGTCCCCACTGTAGGCCCAAAAAGAGGGTCAGTGCATGGCAAATCTCACTACCAAAATCTTCATCCTGCCTTAGGAAGAAATTACGTTTTACAGTTTCTTTTGTTTTGTGGCTTTTCATGTCACACCCATGGAAGAGAAAAGACTGAGGAAGACTGAGTCCCTGAACTGTGCTTGAAACACTTTGTGGGTGCTGAGATGGCTGGAGCACAAGCGTCTCGATGAGGACAATGAGGAGAAAGCCAGAAAATGAAGTATCGTTGTCTTCTCCATTCGCTTTATGCCATCGTTAGCTCACTAACTTCCATTAACTCAGTATCTCCTGGGAGGAAAAATATTTATGAGAAAAATGAGGCTTCTATGGAGCCATAAAAATATAGGTGATCTGGTTTTATAGGGCAGCACCATGTAAAACTGTGCTCCAGGAGCTGAGGTCATAAAGCTCTGATTCTACTGTGAGGCTGGGAAAGAAATTTTGCAATGTTTACCTATGTCTTTGTCAATATTTTCTTTGAGTTTTAATGCCATCAGAACATTAACATTTAAATGGTCAGTGTTATCTCTGCTCTGTTGCACAAAGAGAATGCTGGCATTGATTCAGGCCCACAAAGTGACTGTAGATCTCTAGCAATGTAAGAAAGGTTGTGAGCCTGCAGACAGAAGAGAGAGGTGCCCATAATGTATATCAATGCTTTTATTTATAAATGTATTTAGAGAAAACTGTTTCAGGAATTCATATTGTCATCTTTTTTAAGATCTTTCCCTTTAAAAAAATCCACTGCATGCTACAGAAGACAGAATAGATTAGAGTCAGCTTTTCTTTGGAAGTCTCTTCATAAAAATGCCCTATATTGCTTCTAAGACTTCAAAATAATATCTTTCTTTATGAATATTTGTCAAAAATAGCAAGCAGACAAAAAATATGTACAATTTGGAAAACAGTGCTCAAACAAAAAAAGAATTATGATGGTGCTCATTCTGAAGTTGAATTTCAAGTGTTAATGAAAACAATATAAAATGCTAGTAATTCATAAAAGGGGATATAATAAGTATTTCTTTTAGCAATAGAAATGTTACTAATATATGTTACCAATATAATACATTACCAGTAAATGAAAGGGGATAAAATAACTATTTATTTCAGCAATAGAAATGCTAAAATGTTAAAATATTAAAGGTATTGAAGAATTGTGCCGTGTGCTACTAATTGAAGAAGTTCTACCTTTTCTGTGCTTTTACATTAGTTCTGGACTTGAGCTATCAATATGATCATTTATTGTACTTAATATCGACTTTTGTTGCAATGATGTGAGTATAAAGTTGCAAGTACCCTGTGTCCGGTCTTCCCCATCTGGTTTTATTTCCATATATATAAAATCAAATCAATAAGATTTTCTCTGTATCATATTTATGCAAATGATACATTTAGATGAAACACACAGAATCACAGAATGGGTCAGGTTGGAAGGGACCACAGTGGGTCATTTGTCCCAACCTCCCTGCTCAAGCAGGACCATCCTAGAGCACATGGCACAGGATTGCATCCAGATTTTTGAATATTGTTTGAATATTTGTTTTAAATATCTCCAGTGAAGAAGACTCCACAACCTCTCAGTCATCTCTTTGTGAGGCAGAACACACCAGTTCCCTCAGCTCTTCCTCATAAGGAAGATGATCCTGTCTCTTAATTGTCCTTGTATCCTTTTGATGGACCTGCTAAAAGATGAGATGTCTTGTGATAACCAACCACTCCTCCCTCCCACTTTGACTAAAGTAGTCACAGCTGAACAAAATGAAGCAGGAACCAAGCCTACCATATTATCTCCATAGCATTTGCCTTTTTATTTCTCCTATGAACATCTGCCTCTTATTCCCATTTAACAAGCAGTCATGTCATGCAAGCAAAGCCTCTAAGGAACTTTTGCTTCCCTTTAGAGGACTTGGACTATTAGTAATGTGAAAATTGGTTGGGTTTTGTTTGTTCTTCCCCCTCCCCCCCATGTTCATTCTGTCTTTCACAGTGATCCCATTGAGTTTCTTGAAAACAAACAACTCAGGTGGCTTGTGGCAGATAATTTTTTCTTCCACATAAACTACACAAGTCAGGATGAATCATAAATGTCTTTGCTTTGGGAGAAATCACAGCTTTCACATTGGTGCCCATGAATCACTACTACTCCCTGCAGCATGTCAAAAGATAGGAAGAGTGGTGTAAGTGAATGTGGCAATGGTGACATTTGATATTTCTGAATTGTAGAGGGATTGCTTCATGGAAGAAGATGGTGGAAGCATCTGCTGTAAAATGTCTTTAAAGGATTTTGGGCATGATAAAGCTATAAAAAGTGTTCTATAAAACAAACTTTTCCCCTCTAAGTTTCCAGCATTCATTTCTCATTCTCTGGCTGCTCCTTCTTATTTATTCAAGAGGCAAATGTTCGAGGCCACTTATTCAAGACTAAGCTGTGAAAAGTGATTTGCAATATTTACAGGCCCAGATGGGATGCATCCATGAGTGCTGAGCGAGCTGGCAGACATTCTAGCCAGGCTGCTCATGATCATCTTTGAAAGGTCATGGACATCAGGATAGATGCCCAAGGACTGGGAGAAGGTAAATGTCACCCTGGTTTTCAGAAAGGGCAAGAAGGAGAACCCAGGGAACTACTGGCCAGTCAGCCTCACCTCAATCCCTGGACAGATATGGAGCTCCTCATCCTGGAGGCCATCTCTACCCACATGGAGGACAAAAAGGTGATCAGGAGCAGTGAGCATGGGTTCACTAAAGATAAATCATATTTGACCAACCTGATTGCCGTCTAGGATGAAACAACTACCTGGACCAATGAAGGGAGAGCAGTGGATATTGTTAACCTTGACTTGAGTAAGGTTTGACACTGTTTCTCGCAACATTCTCATAGGCAAACTCAAGAAGTGTGGACTGGATGAGTGGATAATGAGGTGGATTGAACTGACTGAGTGCCAGATCCCAGAGGATTTGTAAGGGCACAGGGTCTATTTGGAGGACAGTCACTAGTGGTGTCCCCCAGGGTTCTATACAGGACCCAGTATTTTTTTAACTTATTCATCAATGACTTGGATGAAGGAGCAGATGCCTCCTCAGCAAGTTCAGTGATGACACAAAACTGGAGGAGGGGCCAATATCCCAGAGGGCTGTGCAGCCCTTTGGAAGGACCTCGACAAGCTGAAGAGATGGGCAGAGAAGAGCCATCGAAGTTGAACAAAGGCAAGTGCAGGGTCCTGCAGCTGGGGAGGAATAACCCCCACACCAGTGCAAGCTGGGGCCTGACGTGCTGGAAAGCAGCTCTGCAGAGAAGGACCTGGGGGCCGTGGTGGACCCTGAGCCAGCGGCGTGCCATTGTGGCCAAGAGGGCCAATGGAGTTGTGGGGTGCATTAGTAAGACCATTGCCAGCAGGCTGAGGGAGGTGATCCTTCCTCTCTACTCAGCCTGGTGACGCCACATCTGGAGTGCTGTGTCCAGTTCTGGGCTCCTCAGTACAAGAGAGACACAGAGTTCCTGGAGCAGGTCCAGTGGAGGGCTACAAAGTCAAAGGACTGGAGCGTCTCTCTCATGAGGAAAGGCTGAGGGAGCTGGGCCTGTTCAGCCTTGAGAAGAGACAACTGAGAGGGAACCTCATCAGTGTCTATAACTACGTAAAGAGAGGGTGTCAAGAGGACAGAGCCAGGCTCTGCTCAGTGGTGCTGAGCAATAGGACAAGAGACTATGGGCAGAACCTGATGCACAGGAAGTTCCACTTGAATATGAGGAAGAACTTCTTTACTGTGCCAGTGACGGAGCACTGAAACAAGTTGCCCAGAGAGGCTGTGGAGTCTCCCTCAATAGAGATATTGAAGAACTGTCTGGACACAATCCTGTGCATTGTGCTCTGGGATGACCCTGCTTGAGCAGGGAGGTTGGATCAGATGACCCACTGTGGTACCTTCCAACCTGACCTGTTCTTTGATTGTGTGAATTCTCTTGCCTTCTATTCAGTTTCATACATTGCTCTTTTAGACATGCAAGATGTGTTAAGCAGTTGCATTTCCTAAATTTTCTTATTGGAAATGAAAATTTTACCTCCCATGCATTAATATTTTACCTATGTATTAAAGATAGTGACTTCACATCATGCAGAGACTTCAAACCAGAGGCTGTTGCCATATGTTGCTCCAGGTAAGGGCTTGCAGTCATAGGAGGACAAAATTCAGTGCTTTCCACTCGTGGTTGCAGAGTAGACTGAGATAAGCCAATCCTGTCCGATGGTTTCGGGGAGAGATATCCGTGATGATTTCTGAAAAATGGAATTATCCTGCTTTTTTGCAAGGATAATTCCCAAAGGCTGCGCCTGCTCCAAGGAGGAGCGGCCGCCGTGCTCCCTCCACCAAGGGGTCCTTGGGTGCCCCCTCGTGTTCAATGACATTATAGCACCTCTCCAGAGCGAGAGGTCCTGTCCCTACTTTTTCCACCTTACTCTGGAGTTTCCCCATAGTGGTGCACTGCTGCAGTTCAGTTCTAGTCTTTTTTGTACGCAGACAACAAAGAAAAGCCGCTTGCTACCAGCTATAACCCAGCTGCCTAGTGCAGTGAAGGCACTGCCCTGTGGACACGTGGTGGTAGGAGCCCCTCCGCACCAAGGACATGCTTAGCATCAAACTCCTGGCAGAATCTGGCCTTTGAAGCCTTCAGTGCTAATGCCAAGGGTCAGTCCTGTAGTGCAGCCGTCCCCCACATTTTTGGTAGATGAATTTTTGTTGCATTGGTTCCCAGCAGGTGACGTGCATCAGGAGGCAGGGGCAATGGTCACAGCACACAGAGAGGCAGCAGCAGGGTCTTTGGCACCTCTGTTTTCAGGGCCCCTCTGCTTGTTAGGTGGTGAGGAGGAGACATGAAAACTTCAGAATTGTGGAGTCTAAGGCGAGACAAGAGGGTAAGGAAAAGTTTCTGGCAGAGATGCCTTTTGTTAAAGGCATCCAGCACTAGCCTGGAATTGCGTGGCTGGCAGATCACCATAGAAGTGCAGATGTATCTGAAATGATTTGGGACTTTTTCAACACTCAGATGTATTTTTTTTAAATAAAATTAATGCTATCTTGCAATACAATTTCCAATTTACTCAGTTCACAGAGATTTTGAGGGCTGAAGTACTTGTTTCTTTAATGAGTGCTGAAATTCCAACAAAACAACCAATACCAACAAGTAGACCTTTAAGAAATATATCCCAAATATTGACATAATATTGCAAAGCATGGCAATAAAACATAAAATAAAGCTGTTAGAACTATGATTCTCTCTGAGAGAAAGATGGCACTTTATTAAAGGGTAGTGTTCTTTCCTGAACAGGAACTTTGCATTTTGGAATATTTTGCTTGAAATGAATTTCTGTCGTGTGCTCAAAATTCAAGGTTTCAGTCTACATCTCTGAAAATGTAACCCCAAATGTGGAATTTAAACTATATTCTTCTTTTCACCATTTATGATTGACTGTACAGGTTGAGCAGTTATTTAATACAGTGCTGTTGGATCTCTACTACCTTCAATTCAGGAGCTCATGGTTATTCTCTACCTCTATCTGCATCACTGGATTTGCCCATGAATAAGGAAATGGAATTCAGCAGGAAATTACTTGTGATGGGCAAGAGGCCTATATTTCCTCTGAGCCCTCTCCAGAGTTTCGGCAGAAATAAAGAGCAATAAAAATGTATTTGAAATCATTTAATAGGTGGTTTGAAATACACAGTAGTAGGTATCTTGGGGGCATAAAATTTTTAGGGGTTTTTCAGAATAAACATCAAGCAAGACAGACACGTGCTAATTCTACTGTTTTGGAACAGAGATAAAGAGCAATTTATTTGCCATCACAGAATCACACAAAAGCACAGAATAGTTGGGGTTGCCTCTGGACATGACCCAGTCCAAGCCCCCTGCTCAGTGCAGAGTTGCTAAAGCAGGCCAGTCAGTGCCGAGTCAGATTTTGAGCAACTCCAAAGTTGGAGACTCCACAAACTCTCCAGGCAACCTGTTCCAGTGCTTGACCACACTCACTACTAGAAAGTTGAGGTTTATTCCTTACATTTAAATATTTATGGGATTTGTGCCTATTGCCTCTTGTCCATTCCCTGGACAACACTTAGAAGAGTCTGATTCCAGCTTCTTTAATCCCCACCCACATTAGGTATTGATATATACACACTGATAAAATTCCCAAGCCTTCTCAGGTCCAGACTGAATAATTCCAGCTCCATCAGCCTTTCCTCATATGGCAAATGCTCCAAGCCCTCCGTCATACTGAAACTTCTCTGGTAAGTAAACCAGAACAGGTTAACTTGCCCAGAACTGGACACA